GCACTATTTTCATTGTGCGCGCGATGCCGTGACGACTCATTTTCGCCGCTTTACTGCATTTAATGGTCGCGCGACACTTCTGCAGCAACATATCCACCACAATTGCTGCACGGATGTTTTGACCAACCCCCACATGCGTGCTGAGCAGCTACGGAAGCACTTCCCAAATAAGACCATATCTCGTGTTGAAGCAGCTTTTAGCGTTGTTTGGCTTGGTAGGGGCACGGACCGGTAATCAGCGAAGCTTGTACAGGCCAGCTTATTAAGAACTGGAAGTTTTTGCTTGAAGTGGCTAACTTGCTCCATTTTGCAGCTTCAAATGAGTTCAGAGTTAGCGTGAACTAACAAACGGAGCTAAAGAAAGTGCAGAGTGCCCCGCCTGTTTGCCGAACAGCGCTCAGGTTCCAAAAGTAAGTACTCCAGATTCACACTTACCAAACGAAGTAATGGGCGGATTGTCTTCAAAGATACCAGTCTCGAGGGACTTCTTCGTAAGAGCATTATTTGGAATGTTAAGATCAGTAGGTGCCAACTGAAATGTTCGTAAAATCCTCTAGAGCTGTTGAATGAGGAGGAAAAGCCGCTTAAGCTATGAAACCTCTGACATCCCCTTCGATAAATTAGTTGAAAAGTATTATGTAGGCTTGACTAGATCAGCTTCTCTGCGCCTCTTGGAACCCTCAACCGAACCCGCCGAGCGTTAACTCGTAAACATTGAGCAAGGAGATGGGAGTGACTGTGGCTGCGAAGTGGCGCAGCGGTTGGGATAAAACCACAGGAAATGGTAGAAAAACTACAAGAAAATTCTTAAAACCGGGGGTAAGGGTTCAGCTATATCCAGCTCAGGCAATCGTACATATCGCGTCTAGCGACCCCTTACCAGCGTGCGAGGGGGAACGGTTAGGACTCCACGAGAGGTCAGCCTGCCGCCGCCGCGGCGGACGAGAGGTGGGCCCCGCGATGCTTTCGCTATGTATTTTTTTCATTTGCATAGTCCATGAGGTCTCCAACAGCCTGCTTTATTACTTGCAGGTGTGAAAACTATGAAAGGAGCAGGCCCGATGTTCAACTATTAGTCCAAAACAACGCCCATTTACAGTCCTCATCATTACGGACCGGTGGGGCGGCTCAGCCGCGCTGCCCTGTGACGCGACAGCGGCTGCGGCTTGGTGCTGTTCGCTGGCAGAACGGTTCAACAGTCACCCGCGCTCTTGTTCCGTGCCCCCATTTGCGCGCCCGGTATGGTGACTGGCGCCTATTCAGTGATAGACGCCGCGGCCGATCAGCTGATCTCGATGAAAATCGGCTGCAATTTTTTTATTTTCAGCCCTTCAAGCTGCGGAACAGCAAGGTGAGTTCTCTTGAACAATTTTAAAATGTTCTGGCTGTAATTTATTATGTTTTGTGCCTATTTTATTGCCCTTTTCCTTGTATTTTTTCCTTTTTAGGGTTTTTTCGATTGATGCATGCTTTCCCACCCTTTTTTTGGCTCTTACTTCATGCTGTGTCTTAGATGTTTCTGTTTTTGATTGAAACACTCTTTGACATCGGTTTGAAGTCTGCAGACCAAGTGGAACGTCCTTATTCCCAACATTTTCTGCTGTGGCCGATGTCAAAGAGTGTTTCAATCAAAAACAGAAACATCTAAGACACAGCATGAAGTAAGAGCCAAAAAAAGGGTGGGAAAGCATGCATCAATCGAAAAAACCCTAAAAAGGAAAAAATACAAGGAAAAGGGCAATAAAATAGGCACAAAACATAATAAATTACAGCCAGAACATTTTAAAATTGTTCAAGAGAACTCACCTTGCTGTTCCGCAGCTTGAAGGGCTGAAAATAAAAAAAATTGCAGCCGATTTTCATCGAGATCAGCTGATCGGCCGCGGCGTCTATCACTGAATAGGCGCCAGTCACCATACCGGGCGCGCAAATGGGGGCACGGAACAAGAGCGCGGGTGACTGTTGAACCGTTCTGCCAGCGAACAGCACCAAGCCGCAGCCGCTGTCGCGTCACAGGGCAGCGCGGCTGAGCCGCCCCACCGGTCCGTAATGATGAGGACTGTACATAGAAATAATATTCAGAGAATCTACAAAAATTCTTTTCAGGGTGAATCCTTCTTTTCACCTTAATTGTAAGGTATTGAAAGGTTTAAGATTTACGGCCAGACGGTAAGTAGGTAGTATTGAAGAAATACAGCAATCCGTCGAATAACACAGCTGCCATTCAAAAATACTGTCGTCCCATTGAAAATTCTGGTTTGGAAAAATCCCAAGCAGATTTGCGTGATGCCAGAACTATGTGAAGGGACCGGGATCTTAATCGCACGACCATGTTGCTCTCGTAAAATCAGGTTGCAATCGCCGCGCGCGGCGAGGCGAGACATGGCAGCCGTGACCTCTCGTGGAGTCCTAACCTACACCCGCGTGCGCGCGGAGCGCGTCAACCCTGCCGAGCGGGTGAAGCAGTGCGGTGGAATCTGTATCGGGCAACGCCAGAGGCGGTATAACATGGGAATGAAACGCAGCTCAAACTTGGGAAACTGAACTAAGGCAGAATACTGTAACAACGATTCACGCCCCCCCCCCCAAATCTTTCTTGTTTAAGTTTTCACCCAGTATCATCCTGCCTGCACATCACTTGGGGGGTGGTCGGGTCGATCGGGTGATGGAGTCGCGCTCTGGAAGGTCTTGTCAGAGGTTTATACCCCCTCCCCACGAGGAAGCAGAGGCACCCCCTACAGCACTAGGAGTCTGGAACTGGCAAGATCCCATCATCAAGCTTTGGAAATGATAAAGTCCTGCTTGCACGTCACCTGAACGGGGAGGGGGGGGGGAGTCTCCAAGATAGAACCTTCGTAAAAACCTTTCACAAAGCACATACTCCAGGCAGCAGATGATCGCTGTACCCGCACTCTACAATGACCCTTGACCCTTCGTCGTGTCTAAAATCTCTTCCGAATGCCCGATATCTCTTCACCGTCCCTTCGTGCAATGCTCATTGTCAAACGATGAAGCTAGGGTCTTATTCAGAGTGTTTCCTCTATTCTCTTTGAAGTTTTCATCCCGCCGGCATTTGGAGTCTTTTAACCGTTTGCCAAACAAATCTGGAAGCAAAAATGTACGCACGCTCCCATATGGTGCTTCTGTTTGTAGCCAATCTGATCCAAACACTCGGTCGACTCTCTCCGCAGAGCGTATGACGGCAATTAAACGCCTGGCACTCTCCTTTGACGCTCGCGGCCAATATGAACAAATCATGAGAGGATCCTGAAAATTTTGGACAATTTCAGGCAACTTTCAGTTCCAAGGCACATTCCGCGATGAACCGATGGGTGGAGAAACGAGCGGAGACTTACCGCCTTTGTAGCATCCACACTGGCCTACCCACCTTTTTCATCGGAAAGGAGATGCCCCAGTCCGTCAAGCACATCAAATGTGGGTCTTCACGCGTTACCACGCCCATTCGGTTATCGCGGAGTGCGCTTTTGTTAAGGACGATCTCACCTTGTAATCGTGTTGACTTTTGAAGAATACTGGCATTGGAGAAGGTGCTCTGTTATCAGTTTTGATTACCTTCACACAGCATATTCGGCGGTTCCCTCTACTCCGTTGGCTCCTTTTTGGCGTTTCTGCTCGCTTTTCTTTCTTCTTTCCCCCACACATCAATGACCACCTTTTCCTGCTTGAGGTGCGAGTTCCAGTTACGGTTCCCGTAGAGTGATCAGGACTTTGGGCAGATGAGATGGAGGATGTGCTCCCTTTCGTCCTTCTGGGCGTATTGTCAGATCGCATCGAACACCTCGGAGAGCTTCTCTCTGATTTCTCGCTCTTCTTCGTCCTTCCTTTGCTCTTCTTTTTTCTATTTTCCACTGCTCTATCTTCTTCTGTTGATGTAGCGGTCGTGGACATCCAGTAGCCCGACGTACTTAGCGTCGATTCCTTTGATGTTGAACTCCGTGGCATGACTGCTTAAACACCCTTAAAACCAGCAGTAGTCGATGCGATGGGCACCGCTGTTACAAAAAGCACCTCCTGGTACTAGAAAATGCGAAAAAGTGATCAAACCTAGTGAAGGTTGACTTCATGGAGTGATAAAGCGTGATAGTTGGTATCTGACCAGCTTATCCTCTAGCCACTCTTTGCACTTGCTGTCAGCAAATAAGATTCATGAGGGCTCTACTCCTTCTAAAAACTCTTAAGGACGGGGTCGTCGGGCCCGTAGGCCCACCTCTTCCATGCCTCGTCTTGAGAAAGTAGGGTTGTGGCATGGTACAGGTATGGTGCCCCCGCCCAAGCCAGCCAGTTCTCCCATCTGTCTGGGAATGCTAGAAATGGTAGCATATCGGAACCAACTACAAACTCCTCAAGTTCCCTTTTCATTAATTTATGGAGAACTATTCCAGCGCTGAGTTCCTTAGGCGAGGAGGGCTTTCAAAAGGCTCCTCATGCGAAAATGTTATTCCCGCAACGAAGACGAGGACTTCTCCAAAAGCCTACAGGGACAGCCGCTGCGTGGATGGTGAGGCAAGTTCGAGAACGGTATCTTCACACACTTTGGCACGGGGTTCTTCAGGGGCCCCATCCACTTTCCTAGATTGTCATTATATCCTTGGAAGTGAGATGGGGGAAACCGACTTCCTTGGTGAGGGCGGTTAATGTGATGTGTAACGGCTCGTCCGAAGGGGACGAATTTACTGACCTGAAACAGTACTCCCGGGAAACCACTGAATTAGATAAAGCATTTTGTTAACAGTCCAATTCGGCCCAAAGCAATAAATACGTATTGATCGGAGAATCGCTGACCGCCCTGGAGAAACGCCGCCGCGGTTTCGGCGGTTCGGCGAAAAGCAATAGATGCGTATCGATTTCGCTGGCTCCGCCTCAGAGAAAAACGCCAGGGCGGTCGGGCTAGCGTTTTTCGCCCAACCGCCCGTCGATACGTATCAAAACCGTTTCGCGCAACCGCCAATCAATACGTATCGAAGAGCTTTTCGCCGAAGCGTTTCTTTCTAGGAAAACGCTGAGTCGCAAACTGTAGATCAAGACTCTGGAAGATCAAAAGATGCGGCAGGGTCCTTAGCCCTGGAATCCCCAGAAGTGCGTTTATATCTTCTGCCGAGGCAGAATTTAGGCCAGCGCCATTCTATTCACTTCGTGGCGTCATTTCCTATCCTCCATCTCCTGGGGGTCAACTGGGCGTGGCGGGTGCTGCTTTGATGAGATGTTGCCGTCGATGATGGGCACAACTATTACCACGCCCTTGTCGAGGACACAGGATAGGATGACAGCTGTCTCAAATTAAAATAGCCCACAGAAAACGTATTCCACGCCGTGTTCAAAAGAAGTGTGCAGCTACGTGCGCCCCATCCCTGGGATGTAGAGTGTATGGCAGGACCAGCCCGGCCATTACGAATTTCGCACTGGAATACCCTCTCCCCTTTCTCGCCATTTTAGAGAGGAGATGCTCACTAAAGAGGCTTGTCCTTGCCCGTACGAGCAACGTGGGATGTACTTTTAAGCTGAACAAAAGAAGTCAAGGAGTGCGTACAATCGATTCGACTAAATCTTGTGCTTTTCTCTCCTTCGGACTCGGGGCCATACTGGAAACTTATCTCCGTTCTTTCTTCCCATGTCCTATTCAAAACTGACATTATATTTATATAATATTTATTTCCAAAGAAATAGTCAAATGTGAATGCATGGTTTTTATATATTTATATCAGAACCGTCTCAAGTTCCGAACGTTCTCCTCGTAGAACTTGGAGTAGTCGAATATTCGTATTTCGGAAATACTGTCGTCAAGAATAAGATCGTAGACTTTCTTCGGCACTTTCTTTTCTAAAAAAAATCCCTGTAGAATAAATGTACTCCAGCTGTGCACGTATAAGGAGGACAGAACAATTGAATCTCTCATCTTGTTGGGCCCTGAGTGCGATAAACAAATAGTCAAATAAGCAAGAAATGAAATAAAAAAGGTATTAATAAAGTAAAAAGAATGAAAAGGTGTACGATTAACCAGCCTTGTGGGCTTCGTTTTCCTCGACGATTAGTTTCGAATTGCCGAAAAGAGTCCTGGAATTCCGCGTACCTAAAAGAGCTCAGTGGTAGTACTCGACAAATCTGTCTCCCTTTTCTCAAGGCAGGCCGCATCCCACCTATAACAAACAGTCCTGTTGGCAGCGGATGGTGGGGGGGGGTTACAGGGCTGTTGTCAACCGGACGTGCTCTCGCTGCGAGGGTCCAGAGGTATTTTCTCAGGCATCTACTAGCCCAGTAGTTGAAGGGAGAAGGTAAAGAAGGAGGGATCAGAGAAGGAAGGAAGGAAAAGAAGGATGGAGGAAGAAAAAAGGAAAGAGAAGAGAGGCTTCTCGGTTGACAAGTGCCCTGAGACGGTCAGAGTGGACGGATTTTGCGCAACCCCAGCCCATTTTTTCTTTGTTTCGGCAAGCGACAAGACTGGATCAGTTTGTTCGTAACAGTCGTTTTCCACCAGAGATTGTCGCTCACCCGCTTCAACAGCTGTTGGAGAAAGAGCAGGCGGTTCACCAGCCCCACCAGACGAGGTGCCCAGACGCACCTTTGAACGATCCTCTCTCTCTTTCCCAGGCTCATATCCGTTCGGACTCGCTCAAGAAATAGCGTTCTTGAAACAGATCCCTCCCATCACATTCTAGTGCTCTGTACCGGCACTCGCGCTGCTGGAGCTACAGCCTTGTTCGCTGCGGACGCTGGGTGTTCCAGGTGGTTGGGTTTGGCGCGGCGCCAGCCTATTCTCCACTAATTATGGTCACCTAC